GTGTGTGAATGCTTAGCCCATGATAGGAAAGGGTTAGTAAATGCTTAGCCTGTGATAAAAACATGTTTGAATGCTTAGCCTGTGATAAGAAAGGGTTAGTGAATGCTTAGCTGTGATAAAAAAGGGGTGTGAATGCTTAGCCCGTGATAAGAAAAGGTGTGTGAATGCTTAGCCCGTGATAAGAAAAAGTGTGTGAATGCTTAGCCCATGATAGGAAAGGGTTAGTGGATGCTTAGCCCGTGATAAGAAAAAGTGTGTGAATGCTTAGCCCATGATAGGAAAGGGTTAGTGGATGCTTAGCCTGTGATAAGTGTGAATGCTCAGCCTGTGATGAGAAAAGGTGTGTGAATGCTTAGCCCGTGATATGCAATAGTGTGTGAATGCTTAGCCTGTGATAAAAACATGTTTGAATGCTTAGCCTGTGATAAGAAAAGGTGTGTGAATGCTTATGCTTAAATATGAGTATAAATGTGGCCCATTTTTTAGACCCTGTCTCGACCCATAGCATGGGCTTAACAAAGTGTGCGCAAATGCTTAGCTAAGGCTAAGCACCCAAAACATCATTGTATTCAATGTTCATTTGGAAGATTTACTTCTAAATTCATAACTATTTATTTAAGTATGCAATTTCCAACATTACAATCAATGTGATCACATCCAAAGACATTCTGAAAGAAAAAGAATAACGTTTTTATAAATGTATAGCATGTACATATTACATGTTACTGAGTAATCATAGTTAAAAGACTGAAGATTTGTTTATTTCTTGTTTATTTTAACAAGTTTGGGCATTTCTTAGCCCATGCTAACTGCTCTTTTCTCTCATGTGTCATTGCAGTCTTGCCAATATGCAAACATATGAGATTAGCTTAAATCTTAGCACATACGAAACCTTAACTATACTAAATTATCAGATTTGCTATGTGAACAAATATAAGCCATAGGAGTCAACATCTAAATCTTATATTTACAGGTAATGGGATTGTTTTCAGTTGCGCCGTTTGATCAGCATTTAATGTTTGAGAGCGGTAAGAATATAACTGGAGATGTATCAACTCTTGGTGACCTTGGTATCCAGCCTGGCGATGTACTTTATTTGAAAGTAGATCTGCCGTGTGATGACCCCCTTCTCATGGATGATATCATGAAAGGTGAGGGCAACTTGCTCATCTTTTTTATAAATTGTATAATACTCCCAGTATTAACACTGTCACACGTTTGACAGTTCACAGTGCATTTAATCTTTAGAATAAAGGTGTCTATCTGTGTTAACTTCTCTTTTGTTTTGTTTTCAGCATGTGCTCCAGAGGAAGGTTTTAAAGGTACTAAATTATACATGATCACATTTAATCATACCAACATACAAGCCTTGAAATTGACAACATTTTATAGTGCAGTGCATGATTTGGAAAACTGCTACTGTCTTGATTACAATTACAACATGTGTTCTTCCATATATGTAGTGGTGCAATCTTCCATGACTCCACATTTCATGGTATGTCCACCCCACAATAAGTACATTCCATAATTAAATTGCTGTAAGAACATTCCGCAAATAAATTTTATAAGTAAATTACGTAAATATATTCCACAGGTACATTGTATGATGACTCGCATACAACACAATTATCTGGCTATTTGATTTAGCACTATTCAATTTGGCCACCTGGCACCCCTTCCCCAGGGATAGGGTTTTTAAATGACCTTCACTTATGGCACATCTTAATAGTATTATAGTGCCACACAGCAAGGATCTCTGATCTGTTCATGCTTTCCTAATTAATGTTGATAAACAATACTGAATGTACATATTTATTTTGTTTCACAGGTACATCATTATTAAGAAACTGATGACTTCATCTTTGTTTCCGAAGAAACAATTACAGGATCTCTACATTATGATCAATTTTCAAAATTGTTGCATAGTTCAAGAAAAGCATTTAATCCTATGAATACACTGCCAATTTACTTGAGTTCAATCAATTTAACTTGTATAAACGACAAATTGATAAAATTTATAAATCCATACAGGGTATGTTTATTTGTATTATAACTATTATTGTCCAAATCCTACTCAATACTTTTTATGGTGTTTGTATCTGTTTGTTTACAAATATTGTTTACAGAATTGTAAATTTAGTTATACAGTTATATAGAAGCAGCATTTAGCCATCTTTGCATATTATATAGCTAATTTGCATATCTGATTTTTAGCATTGTGTACTAGAAAAGTATATATTATAATTATTATTGAGCAGTAACACAATATTGTCTATGCCGTCAATTGCTGTAGGTTAGAATTCAATACAAATAAAATGTGCCCCTGCTCAAATGCATGTCAAGTTTGGGGTTCTTGTTGCCATATTTTAGCTCTGCTGTCATCATTCATCAACAACTTTTTCTTGAACACTACCAGTCTGATTGCTTTTATATTTGAGGTGTACATAATTTTACAGGACAGTGGTCGTCACACCGTGCATGTGCGACATTTGTCTAGATAAACATTGATTTTCAATTTTGACATAGAGGATGCATGGAGCTTATGTGACAAGTACTGAACATAGAGATCAACTACTGATCAACACTTACTAGTGTGGACAATTGAACAATTTCAACTGCCAAACCGTGCATCATAAATCGTCAAATCGTTCTTCACCAAGAAGATTGATGACATCCATATCAGAATCACTACAAACTAGCAAAATACCACAGATATTCAGATTCTATTGTCATTACACCACTAATCAAGGAGGAAATCAGTTTCCAACTTGACATTATTGCCTTGTCCTTAAACAAAAGTTCAGGGCAAGGCATAGTTGGAAAAATGTCTGTTACCAATTGCTGGTTCCTTGTGAGTTCAACTATATGGGGAAGTGTATGCATGTGATTACTCCAAACAGGTATATTTTATGCATTAGTATGAAATCTGGACCAGCCGAGAAATTGAACTGCCACACATTCATATGTTTGACTTTGTGAGCTTGATTCATGTAATGAATTTAAAAAGACGGTATGTTCTCATATACATGCTCACTGGTGTACTATGACCAAGAGTTATTGGGGAAACGAAATTGTAATTGCGCATTACAGAGTATGACATGATAGGAGTGTGTACAAATCTTTTGCTATCTGAGGAGTCACTGGGTGGGTGTGGCTAGTTAAGTCACACCGGCTCAATTTTATGGATGACATCCGCGCACGCATTAGTTTTCGCCTGTTTTCATATTGTCGCAAACCGCCGGCTTGTCGTAAAACTCGTTTTGGACTACCTCCAAACGCGCCAATTTTGTCGTAAATGATCTTTTGCACATGCGTATTGCGTTGCCGGGAATTCCAACATGGCGACCACGCCACAAAAATATGTGAGCATAAAAGTTCAGAGGAATAACGACGGAATTGTTGTAGACTGGTACGCAATTGACGTCGGCCAGGGAAAGTCCTGTGGATTTGGCAGGATTTTTTTTTTTTCCGCCCTCTCGCATTAGTTTTGGGGTCTCCAGAGGATGTCATCCATCAAATTAAATCACTGTGGCCTTAGCTATCGTGTGCTGCAGAAATATTTCAAAAGATATCTGGTGATGCAATCTGTGGTATACCTTGCACTAGAAATATAAGTGATGACATCTACATTGGTGGCATTGATCAAGCAGATCATGACAAGTATCTGGAACAAGCAGATATGCGCAAATTGATCGAGAAGCCTTATCGATATATTGGTCTATTGAACGATTCCATTTATGCCTCTATGGAAAAGAGTTTAAAATCGTCACAGATCATAAACCATTAGTATCATTATTCAACAACCCAACTTCCAAACCCACTGCGCGAATAGAACGATGGCTAATGGACTTGCAACAGTATAACTTTATAGTTGAATATCAACCAGACACGTCAAACCCAGCAGACTATGCTTCTAGACATCCAGTTGATTCTGATTGTACGGATACATCACAAGGGTATATCTCATATGTGAAAGAAAATGCTTTGCTGAAGGTATTCACACTGCAGGAAGTTGAAACTGCGACTTCCAATGATCCGGCACTACCAGCTGTTATGTCTGCAATTAGATCAGGTAAATGGCAAAAAGCTCCACCAAAAGTATCACTATCTGAACAATCTCGTTATGAACATGTGAAGGAAGGGCTCACAAAGCTCATCTTGGCATGGTGAAAACAAAAGGAACAAAAATGCGTCATGGACAAATTGGTAGAAATCAAATCATACTTACCCTGCCAGATAGTAACCACAGTTTACACCAGAGAACCATTACAAATGTATATCCTATTAGACAATCCATTCGACGAAGTTCGCATAGATTTTGCATACGCAAAAGGTGAAACGCTACTTCTACTCATTGACGACTATTCACGATATCCATTTGTAGAACCAATATCGTCAACTGCTGCACGTTGTGTCATACCAAAGCTCAACTACTTATTCGCGATGTTTGGCACTCCCGGAATTCTCAAATCTGATAATGGCCCACCATTCAACGTTGAGGAATTTGAGAAATTTGTTTCGATACTAGGACTGAGACATCGTAAGGTAACTCCACTATGGCCTAGAGCCAATGGAGAAGAAGAACGATTTGTTAAAACGTTGAAGAAGTCAATGAAAGCATCAAAAACAGAAGGAATGAATTGGAGAAAAGAACTGCAAATGTTTCTACAAAACTACCGCACAACCCCTCATGCTACAACCAGTGTATCACCCGTAACATTGTTTCTGAAACGTATCATATGCAACAAGCTTCCTCAAACAAATGATATCGACCCAGCATCAGAAATCGTACGTAAATATGATTCACTGTAGAAGCACAAAATCAAGATTCGTGATGACAACAAATCAAATATGAAACCATGTAATATGGAGACAGGTGATAGGGTATTAGTAAAACGACCATACATCAAAACCAGAGGTTCCACAGTGTATGAGCCTATTCCAATGACAGTAGTGTGAAAGAAAGGCTCTATGATTACTGCTGAAAATGATAAACACATCATTCTACGGGAAGTTAGATCATTACTTAAAAACATGATCATGATATCACACCCGATCCGGTATATATTCAACAATCTACCAAGTCTAGCTCATAAACTCGCCATCATTGCAAATAAATATGCCAAAGACGAGTAATCTTAATAACGGTGAAAACATAAAAGTGAACAGTCCAATTCAAGAACATAGAATGACTGACAGCGATGATTCTACAAAACCCACTCCTACACTTCGCAGATCGTCGAGAAAGCCAGTTCCACGCAAAATACTTGATTTGTAATCCAGTGACATTCGCTTAGTCGATTCATAACATTTAAATTATATCTCAGACTGAAATTCTTCATGAATCTTATAGTTTGTCATAATTCGTTACTGTTAAGATCTATACAATATTCGATTTATTCATTTACAAATTGATAGTTCGTATATCAGATCAAAATTGTATTGTGAAATATGTTTTATCCACAAGGGGATGTAATGTCCTATATCATTATTTATGTATGACCTATGACATCATTTGATATGTTACTATAGTGATGACTGTATAGCATTATTGAGTTTCTCGAGTTAATTTATCAATACAGACGTTACATGCACAGTGACACCTTCCATAGGTTTAGTGAAATTATTCAAGTGGGTGTTCACCCAAACATTCCCCAATATATTCTTCGTATTATTACATTGTTCGCGTGCTTCTAGCGTCATCTAGAACAATGAATGCGACATATGCTTTATACGTCTGTCCACCTAGGGATCCAGCTTTTCCACCGATATCTAATCATCATTTTGACATTATAATGAACTTTGGTACATAGATGCTCTCGTGCAATGCACATACCTTATATTTGTTGGCTAAAATTTATGCATATTACTAATTTGCATTTTCTGTGGATAGGTAATAGTATTTCAGTGGACCACAGTCCCTCTATCCCCGATCTGGAAACGGTCATTGTATTAGGTGTGAATTGGCCTCCTTCCCTGGCAAAGGCGCATTGCGGGTATGGGCGAAGCATTGTCACGTGATCAGTACGCAGTCGGCCACTATTTTGACATCGTCAGTGTTATGTACTTTTTTACAACTTAGTTGCTTATTCCAGAATTCGTGCTTTTCCACATAATTTTTTAATCAGGATATCTGTATAAGGTCATATTTTAGCCGGCGAGTAGTTCTTTAATTCATCTATTTTACCAGCAGCGACACATTTTCGCAACAAATTTTCATACCTTTACCAAGATATTTGTCGTTTTTGATTTTGGGGTGATGAAATGAACTCTATTTTATTTACCATACTTCTCGGCGCGAAACCAATATTTGTCTTCGATTTTGACATTTTCTGATCGAAACATATCATTAAAAATTAGTGGGCTGATTTGTTATTTGTCACACCGCATTTTATTAATATTAAATTGAGCGACTTTTATGGATGCTTTTTAAGATCGTAAATGCAAATGGCGACGTTTTGAAATGACAATGTACTCAATTCTGTGCTAAAAAAATCATTTATATACAAACATTAAAGCATTGTTATATACTTTTGCATAGAATACAGTCATTAGTTGTTGTATAGTTGACTTGAACTGTTATGAACCCCCCAAGAATCAGAAATATCACAGGTTTTTCGATCGACTACGTTAACATGAACGACGCCATTTGGACAAGATTTGTTTAGCGATGTCAGCATGTTGACACGCGAAGTTTTTTTCCTATTAAAACAAGAAAATGAACATAATTCCCGATATTAATCTATGCAT